TATATTTTAAAATAATGTGTGTTCAATGATAAAAGAAACACCTGGTATAAAGTTATTATAATATTACCATTACGAAATGCTGTCTGTTACTACATAATTATTTAAAATGTATTAATGACTTAACAATTACTTTTCTTTAGATATCCAATATATATAAACATATTAAAATAATAATGTGCATTATAAGGCACTTCTTTATTGAAAAACCTGAACTGAAAACCACATTACACAAATTAGTTGATGAAAATTATTTGACACTACAGAAATACCATAATTACAAAATATACACACCTAATAAAATAATCATATACAACTCTATACAAAAATTTAAAAATTGTCCAACAGTGTACGACATAATGAATATAAAAAAAGAAATATACCTGACGACAGCTGTTTTTTACAATGTAATTTTATTTGTTTGTCTTGAAACATCTGCAATGGTTCTTAAATTKAAATAATGTATATAATTATGTGATTGTTTCAGCTTCCGAATTCCCTCAATTCCCTCTGCCAAACACGAACCTGCAACAAATAACAATTTAATATTACAAAAATTTCAACAAAAAGCAATCTTCGTTCAAAAATTTTTAAATTCAATAATTACAAATCATTTCAATACTACTTCTTTCAATGCAATATGCCTAATTTATGAACAAAGAACAGAAGAATACAAACAAGACAWCTTTAATCCACTACAAACTTTGCCAAGAGTAAAACAAGACTCTCAATTATCCGTTGACGAAATCATTGAAATAAGGCTTCAAAATTTCAAATTCATCATTCAAATCCACCTATCACACATAAAAAATTCAACGCTTCAAAATTAAAGTTTTACACTCAAGATTCAGATATTCAAACTTACATAAAACAACATTATCCTTAATAAACTATTTTTTTTTTTTACCATTTTAAACTTGTTGATATTTTTGCATGTAACTTCGAGGGATGGTAGCTGGAGACGAGTGTAATCTAATGGTACAGGTTTCAAGTCGATCGCACGATTATTCGATTTTTAATTAATTTTTATATAAAAAAGAAACCGTAAAAATCGGCAATACCGGTGTGATGTACACACCGTAGACAAACTATTCGTGTATTTAACAATTATCAAAAGTTGTAAACTATTACGAATAGTTTCTCTATGGCGTGTACATCACCAGTATTGCCGATATTTGCGGTTTCTTTTTTATATAAAAACTAAAAAGTAATTAAAAATCGAATATTTCGTGCGATCGACTTGAAACCTGTACCATTAAATTACACTCGTCTCCAGCTACCATCCCTGGTAGTTACATGTAAAAATATCAAAAACCTGAAGGCACTGCAGTACTACACTGACGGCTGGAGTCTGGCCGATCGCCCGGACATCACCCGGCAGTTGGCAAATTTCGATTTCAAAAATTAATTAAAAATTGAATAATAAGACTACCGATTTAAAACCTTCACTGTTTCATTGCAAATGTTCCTGGCTACCGTCCATGGTAGTTTCGTGTAAAAATATGAAAAACACTGTAGGCACTGAGCCAGGGACGGGTTTTATCACTCACCAAGGGGGGGCTAATAGAGGTTCAAAAATTTAGTTAGTTGTTTTTTAAGTCTATATAAAATTTAAAATTACAGATTATAKTTTTGAGTCCCTCGACCCTCATAAGTAAGTCATTGTTTTTTCACAATAGTGACAAATTTTAAATAGTTACATTATTGGTATAGATTGGAAAAACAATCTAAAAATAGCTTGAAGCC